TGAGTAGTGACCTAATGATTTTTGTGACTTTTTATTTAGCACCAGCATGAAGTTGACATTTGTGTTTTATGAAAACACATGAATATCTTGGCAGTTATTTGATAGATTGCCATGAGATATTTGCACAGATATGCATGTCCCCCTCAGGACGAGTTGTAATCACTTTTATGATCCTTTAACTTTTAATCTAGTGCCATTATCAGGTCAAAAGTAAAAAAAATTTCAGTTAGCCTATTTTGGTTTATACAAAATAGTTGCGAAACGACAGACTGTAATAAATAGATTTTTGTGTACATTTGTAGCACCAGTAATGACATTTCCATCAACATATACTTGTTAGTGCTAATTAGCAAATATTAGCATGCTAACAGGCAAAACTAAGATGGTAAGAACAGTAAACACTATACTAAAAATCGACATGTTAGCATGCTGACATTAGCATAGGTTAATTAATTTATTAAAAAATATACAATGTTTAGATTAACTACTTACATATTTATGTTTACACATGTATTGTTTACATATTTAGGAAAAAAAGAGAAAGCTATCCATCTCCATCCTGCTGTGATCCAATTACCTCATAACATTATACCTGCTAAACATTAGCATGTTTGAGGGGACAGCCCTATGTTCCCACATTTCTAAGAATTTTTTTTTCACAGAAAATTAGGCCCTATGTTCCCACAGCCCTATGTTAGGGTTAGGGGTTAGGGTTAATTGGCTACCAAATTGGGAGAAAGGGGCGATAAAATCTGATATAAATTTATGAAAAAGGAAATGTGGGAACATAGGGCCTAATTTTGAAAAAAATCTTAGAAATGTGGGAACATAGGCACGCTCCCATGTTTGCAGGCTAATGTTTGAAGCAGTGCTATGCCTAAGTACAGCCTCAAAGAGCTGCTAGCATGGCTGTAGAGTTTTTTTTGTCAGTATACATCAGTGTTGGACAGAAACTAAGTATATGATTTAATTATTTAAGTACATTTTTGAAGTACGTGTACTTTACTTGTGTATTTCTTAATGCTAATTATACTTATTTTATAACTAAACTACTCCACTACAGTTTTAGGATTAGCTTATAACATATGATTAATTATTATAGATTAAAGCACGCAACAGTATAAAAGTAGATAAAAATCAGCTCCACCCTGACCAACTACAATATAAAAATATTGCCTAATTAATCAGTAATAATATTCCGTGAATGAAATTTATATTATACAACACTGTAAAGGGTGAGATCCTGCTTGATGTGTTGGACTACTTGTACTTTCAACATGTCAGTACATTTTGCTGATAATACTTCTATACTTTTACTTAAGTCATATTTTGAATGCAGGATTTCCCCTGAAATTAAGCAATTTTGTATTTACATACTTCTTCCATATATATATATTTTCTGCATTGAATCTCAAACATTCAGTAACATTATTTCCTGTGTCTGCAATAGTCCTCTATAAACAGTCCCTGGATTCTGTGTTATTCTAGTGTTTGGAGCAGATTTATCATTGGCTGCCAAGATGTATCAGTGTCACACTGAACGTCAGACACTATTTTTATACCTGTGAACATAGGAAGTGCACAAGTCTGCACCTGTAAGTCAACACAGTTCACACAACTCGCTGAAATGGACGCAAACATGCGCTCACATTCAACACCTGCATCTAAGCGAATCTGATTAAAAAAGGTGAAAAACTCTCCCAGGGCCAGAGTGGAAACTGTGTTCAAAAATAAAAAGCATGACGTTTCAGGCTCTTGACTGTTATCAGAAACGGGCAAGGTTACAAGATCTAAACGTCATACTCAATTTTCCATTCTGGTCTTTCAGAGTGTCACATTTTCACTTTTTTTTTAACAGATCATCTTTTTATTTTTGGGCTTCATCTCTCAGAATTTTAGAGCAGCGTTTTGGTTTTGACCTGTCTAAGCTGCAAGTGATTCATACCAGGAGGATTTCTAACAATTTTAGACCGTGCTTAGTGAAACACATCTTCTGTAACCTGGCATACATACATAAAGTAGGCTTGTGGCTCAAAAAATGTAAATCAAATAATTCTGACTGACAATACTGACTATTTGTAAAAGCCTTGATATGTGTCTTTAGGCACAGTGATTGACAGGTCACTAGGTTTCCTGGGGAAAGTGGACTGCAAAGGCCAAAGAAAGCCTCTTTCTATAAGTGCTTCACAGATCCACAAGTGCAGCTGAGGCTTGTGTTGGTCAGCGAGCTGCCAAGGAGAGCAGCCACAGGAAGCTTAGGCCAGTGGGACTCACTACATGTGACTAATGAGTTTGTTGAAACCCTTTAAAACACCAGCGAGAGGAGCCAAATGTGCCATGTGCCCATACAAATAAACAAAGAGAAACAAATTAACAACAAATGGCATAAAGGATGTTTGTATGAGGTGTAAGCTTAAATAAATTTGATATAATACTCAGAGCTTCACTGATTTCAAACACTCCATATAGTAGAACCTTAGAAAGTATAAAGAGTAATAATGGATGCAGAGCCTCTTGTGTACTTTGTCACATGTGTGCAGAGGTGTGACGATCACATCATAGTGTGTGAAACCTGAATTCTCTTCCCTCCTCATGTAGTTTTTCAGGAGAAATCGGAGCAAAAGCAGGGTGGTAGAAGATGTCTGCGGAGGGAAGGGATGCGTCACTGGATTAGTGCCTAAGAATCTGTCCCAGCCTCTTCCTCCTGAGCTGCTGAGACGCCTTCCAGAAGGGCACGACACTCGCTGCACGCTTTCCCTCCACCTAGCCTTCCACATGAGCCAGCCAAGCCTTACCTCCCCACCAGGATGAAGAAAGAAAAGAAAACGCATGCTTTACTGTTTCTCCTCCTGCTTCACTTCACCTTGGGTAAGGCTCTGATTTTCTTTTTTTTCTGTTCTTTGTGTGTGGTTAAGACTTCTTGCCTTGCTCTTATCTGGTTAATCCTCTAACACACAGAGGGCATGTCCATCTTAGCGTTGACTGTTTATGCTGCCTGTTCTTCGTAGTTATATGTGTGGTTATATGTTTGTGATGTGGTAGTTGCAACTTAAATCCAAATATATTTCTAATTCATATCCATCCTTCCCCTCCTCCTCCTTCTCCTTCTCCTTCTCCCTGCTTTCGGTTCCTGCCCTTTTTTAGCAAGTGAGTGCAACAGTTATCATTTAATTAATTGCATTAGCATTTCCATTAGAAATAGAACAGAAAATAGAACTCCATATGAGTTATTTTAGACATTTAGACATTTTTTAGGTTTATGCAGTATGTGGAGTACCTTAGTTGTAGATTATATTATTTTATCATTTCTCTTCTGCTCAAGTAACTTGGAGCCTGTTTATTTGTTTTCCCATATAGGACAATCAGACTATGCTCCATATTTTTATGATAATGGACCCAGCAGTACAAATGGGAATATGGCCTTGTTCAGCATCTCAGAGGATACACCAGTTGGTAAGTGCAATCTAACGATGATTTTAAAGCAATTGATCCCGTTAATTTCAGTACGAGATAACATCTAGTGTAGCTTGAAGGTGTTTATTTTACATGCATAGGTGTAACGATGAAATCATCACAAGAGGCTCCAACTAATCACTGTAATACCTTTTGGATTGTGACGTACATCAAGACTTACGGGAAGAAAACAATATGGGTGGTGGCTCATCTGACCTAATTATCAAACGTGCCATTCACACTGAATAAAAAACAGGAAATAATAATGAAAACAACCTATTCTCACCTGTCCTGCATGATTTTAATGAACGTTGAAATGTTTGTGTGGATTTTGACAGTTTGACATTATTGTTTCTTTGTCATTTTTACCACATAGGAACACAAGTATACATTCTGAGTGGTCGAGATCCAGAGGGAGATCCAGTACGATATGGTCTGACTTTTGAAAAGGGCTCCAAAGAATATTTTAGGGTGGATTCCAAATCAGGAAATGTGACTCTAATTCAGGAGCTGGACAGAGAGGTGAGCCTGTTAATGAGACTCTTGTTTTGAATAAACCTGCTGTAAATCTGTCACTACTGTGGCTCAAAGTGACATTACATTTTCTCTGTAGAAACAAGGTGAAATCTCAGTGCTCGTGAGCATAACGGACGGTCGCAATAAAGTAAGTATGTTATGTGTTTTTGTCTATACTTAACTCAGCTTAACCACTGCATTTGTCACACCATTGCTGGTTTCATAACCTCCAATTAATTATAATTTTACAGTTGCCACTGTAACACTATGATCTAATTGACGTTTGTAAGATTAAAGAAAAATAGAACCAGATCTATGTTACGATATATGATAGATATTCTTATTATTCCCACTATCATCACTTTCTGGTAATTATTTCTCTCTAAAGCTTTGTAATAAATCCCAGTCGGTGTAGTGTGCATTTTTATTTTAGAATTTGTTTTTATTTTGCTCTTAGGTTGTTGAGACTGTAAGAGTCTTTGTAACTGATGCCAATGATGAACCACCTGAATTTCAAAACCTGCCTTTCATCATTGATATCCCGGAGGTACAGTATATTGAAAGAATACACCCAATACGGTATAAAAGCAACCTCTGAATCTGCTGATCGAGCCAAGCAAATAATTGAGAATAAAGTGGGTTTTAGGGTTATAAATACTGTTGTCTCTTTGCTAGGACACTGCTCCAGGAAGTAGTATCTACAGAGTGCAAGCAACGGATAAAGATATTGGCTCAGGAGGCAGCGTCTCATATTATCTACAGGTAACCCTACAGCTTTGTTTTTATGCAGATGATGCACAGCTGTGACCCTGGCATCTCTAAAGCTCTGTCTTGGTGAAATCTAGTGCTAGATGCAAAATCTTTTTGCAACTGAATTAATAAGGCTGTTCTGTTTTCTTTGCCCATATCTACCACAAAATGTCAGGAACACATTGGAGGCTTTGTGCTGAATTTTAGGCAATGAATCTTGGTTTATTTTGACTGAGGTGAAAAACACTATCCAGATGTGTCTCCTTCAAGTTTATATAATAATATATCCCAAGAACCAAATATTTCCTAAAATTTTATTCATTACTTTGTCTTGCTCAGACTAATGTATCTATCTTTAGTCTGGCATAAGGCAGAAAAATCTCTTTCCAAAATACAAGAGCCAGGCTATTAAAGTAACATGTGCCTGTAAAAGCGACCCAAAGTAACCTAAAGCTATTTTAGCTTCCTTGCACACAGGTGAATTGATTTTACTAATCACATATAAGAGCTGTTAATACTAGCTCGGCTTCAGTCTACATTGGACTTCTTTACTCCTGCACCCTGCAATACACCCTAAAGTCTGCCAACAAGTTTATCCTCTCAGTGCCCATTGCCCAACATCTTGTTTGATAGCATGAGCAAGCATTTATTTATTTTTTACTTTTTATTGATGCTCTTCTATTGTTTGATTTAATTTCCACTTTGTAATCCATGTGAAAAGTGGATTATTTTTATTATGACTGTACCATTATTATCTACAAAGTTATACTGTTAACTGGCTCGAGAGTAGGACCAGAGGTCGAGCTGACATCATGAGAGCTGTGCTGCCATGTGGAGGGAGGAAAAGGGCATTCGAGTGATGGGACAGTGTGTGGAGGGAAAGATTAATCTCATACTAGAGAGCAGTCTGGAAATGGTGTTACTTTAGTGGATTAAATTTCAATTACATTTGAGCAAGGCACTGAAGGCTTAATAGGGGCTTAGGTTTGGTCCGGGCCAACAGCTGACAGCACAGTAGTTGTTACTGTTCATGTGTCAACTGTGAGACAAAAACTATCCTGATGGAGGTGTGTAGAAAAATGTCAAGGTTGAAGTGAGGTAGGCATTAGAAGCATCTTCGAATTTAGCTTGATTACTCTTGATTGCTAAATTCAGGTAAAAATTAAATGTGTGTCCACTGTTACCCTAAACTCTGCTAACTGTGTGACTTTATTCATTATCAGACATTACCGTTTGCCAAGTTTACCATCGATGGGCACAGCGGTATCCTTAGAGTCAAACCTGGTGAGACTTTGGACTACGAGACTACACCCACACACTTTGTGACGGTGGTTGCAAAGGTGAGATGTCATTGTCGCCCTTTTAGGTTTGTCTTCTCAGGTGACTGAGAAAAAAAGTTTTGAATGGTTCTTATGCACCATTTTGTACATGAAACAAGGTAACACTGTAAGGAAAGCAAGGCAGCACAGGAACCCGTCTGTTTGTGGGTTAAAGTCATGAAAAGTTCTGTCGTGACTAAGCTTTCTGAACACCAACACTTTGCTGAATTTCCACAGTTTCTCTGTATGACTTCCACTTACTTCACATAAGTGAAAGTCTGGCAAAGTGATGACAGTGTTCCTCCCAGTGGGAGTAACCTGAAGTGCATGATGGAGACTGCTGTTTTGTTTTTTTGGCCTCAGCTCTGTGTCTCTGTGGAATAACTAACATACAGTACAGACGGCTAAATGCAGATTAAAGTTATAGTGACTTTGACGTATGGATTTCAAGCTAGACATCTGGTTACCTTAAGCCAGTGGTAGGCCTCTAATCATATTTTTTTAGTTGGGTAAGTAAGTACTATTAGTAGAATAAAATCTCTGTATAGGGATTTCAAAATACTTACCGCAGTTATTACTTGATTTGATTGAGCAGTCTTACGCAAGGATCACACAAACCCTTTAAAGAACATTGTGAGTCGATTAACTACCAAATGTAAAATAAAATGTCCTTTACCAAGGCTTTTTTTTATTTTAAGACTGTTTTATCATAATTTACCATGGATAAAGCATCATCCAGAGTCTAGATCAAATGTATTACTATAAATATAAAATGTACTCAGTCTGCTTTCTGCTTCACTATTTGTTTTCTCAGGATGGAGGCGGAAAGTACAAGGGGAAGCACCAAGTGTTGACCTCCACAGCCACCATAACAATCAATCTAATTGATGCACAAGACATGCCCCCATCCTTCATAGGAACCCCTTACTTTGGCTACGTCTACGAAGTCTCAGTTCCTGTAAGTCCTCCTGTAACTCGTTACACACCGGTGAAGGTGATCAACCATTACATGCACTAAATATGTATAAAAACTAATTATATTTTGTTTCTTCTAGGGATCTGAAATTTTCACTGTGTATGCTAAAGATGGAGATCAAGGCAATCCTAACCCAATACATTATTCTATTATGAATGGTAAGAGCAATACATCAAGAAATGAATGACATCTTGTTTACTATTTTTACCAGACAAATGCACAACATTTCTTTTATCACCTTTCAGGGAGTGATGGTGTGTTTGACATAAATGGCACGAGTGGATGCATCACCCTGACAACTTACCCATCTCTTCTGAAAAATGAATTATATGAAATTAAAGTCAAGGTAATGTTTTATGTTTTTGTCTTACGGTTATTTAATGGGGATTACACTCATCTCTTATAAATTTGACCTACTATTCCTACTAAATATGTTGATCAATTTCATTTTTAAACCCAGGCGTCTGAGGTAGGACCAAACGATCAGCTGCAGGACTACGACATTACCATGGTGACGGTCCGGGTTGTGGATCTTAACAACCATCCCCCGACCTTTTATGGAGAAAACGGACCACAGAGCAAGTTTGAGGTCACCATGTATGAGCATCCTCCTGCAGGGGAGATCCTCCGAGGCTTTAAAATCACAGTCAATGACTCAGATCAGGTAACTATTATTCTATGGCGAACTATCCCCAAATTTTACTCTTGTCTCATTGACCTCTACGCATCCTTTGATTCTTTGCTCAAGGGTTTATTGGTCTGTATGTGCCTGCTGCACTTCAACTAACATTCTTTTATCAAGACATTCACTTTAGACATGCAGTAATGTGCTGTAACCTGTCAATAACTGTTTTCAGAATGACTCATCTAACATTATCTGCCAGATTATTTCCCTTTTTTAAAAATCCATCAAGGTTTCCTGAAGTCATCTTGAGTCTGATGCATCTACATTCTTATTTACTTTACTGATTCACGGTTTTTACATTCTGCACTTTATTTTTTTTTGCAGGGAGCAAACGCTAAATTTAAACTGAGACTTGTGGGGCCGAGTCGAGTCCTGCGAGTGGTTCCCCAGACGGTCCTTAATGAAGCACAGGTGACCATCATCGTGGAAGACACATCTGGCATCGACTATGAAAAGGGACCAACCCTTTCTTTTAAGGTTAGACTTTATATATCACTAAATTAGAATGAGTATTATTGAAATTACACCAATATTTAATCTTGGGCTGCAACTAATTTGTAGTTTCACCTTTTAGTGTCTTTGGTTATCTTTTTGGTTAATCAACGTACAACAATAAAGATAACTACCATTATTTACTAAAAATTTATGTGTGACTTTAAAAAAAGTCATCATAGGATTTTAACCTTTGTTTTTACCCTTCTTTATTGTTTATCATATATCATGTTTGTATCATGTTTGTCTATTGTCTGAGTTGTTTGTTGTCTTAATTTTTTTTGAAGAGTGATGCTTTGCCCTTTTACTGCAAGTCAAATTTACCTATGTGTACAAACAAAGTAACCTTGAACCTTCAACCTTCACCCTCTGACTTATTATTAAATTTTCTTCATCACGACTGCTAAATATCAGAAACACATTTTGATATCCAACAGTTTGTATATTTGTATAATGAGCATTGCAGCATCACAGAGCTGCTAGTGTGGCTGTAGACTCTTCATCTCATTTGTTAGTAAAATAATCGAGTAATGGACTAATCATTTCAGCATTCATTTAATCACACGTGTCTTTTGCAGCTGCTGGCGGTGGAGATCGACACTCCGGAGAGGTTCAGTTCCACAGCTGACATAGTGATCAACCTGCTGGACACAAACGACAACATCCCCAAATTCACGTCCGAGTATTACATCGCCAGGGTCCCTGAGAACTCTCCTGGAGGCTCCAGCGTTGTGTCTGTAACAGTGAGTCAATCAAGATTAGAGTCCACTTTAACCTGACCAAAGTGATTATATAATCCTTCAATCCTCCATTGCATATTACTCAGTGCAGTTCATTAGATGAAAGCAGGTTGTCGCCAGACAACAAAATAGCTCAGCGGTCCCTTTTTGTTGATCCTAGTTATCAAATTCATGTCTCTGTGTGACATTCTGGCATATGCTCTATGTTACACCTCAGGCAGCAGTTTTATTAATGGAAATATTAGCACATTTATTTCTTCCTTTCCATTATACTGTATGTATCCTGCAGCCAGGCAACATGTGCAAGCTACGCAGTGTGCAGTATAAAGCTTAATTTTATCCCAAGGTTAATCATGCTGACCTATACCTCCATCCCCACCTACCACAGGAAGAGACTTAAAGCCTGCCCAACCCACCATACACGAGCTTAAGACCCTAGCTGTTTATCCTCTAGTAAAAACTTCTAAATGGATCACCTTCAGTCATCTTGGTTGAGTTTTTTTGTTCCCCAGCTTAACTATATTGAATTCAGTTGGTAAAGTGTAAATTTTTCACACTTTATTGTATGTGCTATGTATTATTATAAGCTTCTCATCTCTGTCCTGTTTTTTTCTCTAGGCAAATGATCCCGATTCAGGGCCTTGGGGTGAAGTCAAATACACAATTTATGGATCAGGATCAGATTTGTAAGTAAAAACCTTCCACTCCTGCCAATTTAGGCTCGGTCTGATTAGATATTTAACTCTTGCACTTCCACAAAACACACTTCATAGGCTAAAAAATCAGTTTATGTGTATATGACTCAACACTGCTCAGAGGCTCAGGGTGTTTGGTAAACTCAGCCAGCAGGAGACCAGTCTTGATTCATCTTTTGTCACTTTGATGGAAGCAGCAAGCAGGAAGCCAGTTTGATTGGCCCCTCTGCTGCACAAACAGCTCTCTCTAAAATGGCTGCAAGATGCTGGCTAATCTCCTAATTGGATTGGAGGGTTAAAAATAGACAGCCTGGCCCGTCTCACATAGGGAGAGCCAATTAACATGCAATGTGACAGCTGGAGCTACAGAAACGGCAGCTTTGAAAAGCAAGGCAGCATGCAGCGAAGGAAAAGTGAGAATTTATGCTCGTCTTCAGGCAGCGACCTGAGTTAATTGTGCTAAAGTTATCAGTTTCCAGGCAACTTGTGAAATTTCACAGTGGAAAATGAGACAGAGAAGATGGCTGAACAAAATGGCAGTAAGCCCAATGTTGAACTAGAAAGCACTCAGAAAGCACAACCTGCACAATGCTGTAGAGTATTTTAAAATATCTCTTATGTGTAGTTATTCTGACTGCAAATGGTACAGCTTTTAGAAAAATAACAGAATCTTGGTGAAAATTGGTGCAGTCTGTCACATAGCGGGGGGTGTATCAGCATGCATTGCTGTTTGTCAGTGAGTCTGTTTTTAATACAACCACTGGAAAAATGGAAATGGAAAATGTGTGGATCCAGATCAGCATAAAAATACACAGTGATAGACAGCCATGCTAAATAGGTTGATGGTG